CTACGAAAAACGAGGCCGCGCCAAACCAGCAGGTCACGCCGCTGTTAGCGGTCCCGCTGAAGTCGCACTTGTTCAGCCACGTGATTTGGTGCTTCCAGCAAGTTGTGAAATGTCGCATTGTGAGGCATGCTGAAACATCCCACGTTTACCATTGACAACTTTGTAGCTCATTTCTGTCGGGCAAACACAATTCAGGGCCAAAGGCTGGGCCGAAAAAAACCGGCTTTAGGCACGCCCCCGCGCCAACTTGCTTATCTCTTGCAACAGGCCCTGTTGGCTTGCGTTGCGCCCAGAAGTAGAAAACGTCCGATTTGATGCGAGGTCTTTAGGCTTTCAGGTTTAATGTTAGTTGTTCGGGGCTGATTAGAACACAAGAGCCTAAAATCTTTCCGACTCTTTTTAACAAAGCCAAGAAATCCCAAATGACGCGGTCCGGCGAGTCTTGAATGCTACTCAGTGTTCAAGCCTGCAGCTCAGCCCGGCGGCTGGACACTACCGTCAGGGTGAGTGCGTCGCTCCTGAACGCTGCTGGGAAAAACCGTCGCTTCGGAACGCTGATTAAAAATCGCTTCGGAACGAAGGAAAACGTACCAATCGCTCAGGAACTCTGAAAGCGCAGCCACCTGTGACGCGCTGCGCCGAGACACCGGCGAGCGCTTCGCTCTTGAACGCTGGGACAAGAATCGGCACCCATGCGTCCACGCGCTTTCATAGCAGCTTGCAGAGCCTGGCTTGTGGCACGCGCAGAGACTTGCCCTGGTCGACCTAGAGCAAAGTTTGGGGCATGTTTGGGGAAATTCTGTTTGTCTTGGGCAGGCGTTTTCTTCGGAAACCGCATGTTCGCAGCAGCTTGCAGAGCCTGACATTTGGCATGCGGAGTTGAGCGGGTGTGCTTATCATCCCCGCCCCACCCCCCCAGATCAAATTGATTGGATTTTGCACACCCTGGCTGGGATGAAGCAGTTCAGCGGGTGTGCTTCTCGTGCACCCCCCGCCTGAGTGTGCTTATCATCCCCCCCCTCCCACCACAAACTGATTGGATTTTGCACACCCTTGCTGGGATGAAGCAGTTCAGTGGTTGTGCTTATCATGCCCCCCCACCCCACCCCCGCCCCCGAACCAAATGAATTTGCACAATTGGTTCCAGAGTTGCGCGGGTGTGCTTCTCAGCCCCCCCCCACCCCACCGGTTACAGAGCAAGCTGGGCTGGTTCAGTTGAGCGGGTGTGCTTACCATCCCCCCCATCCCCAGAACCACTAGGTTTTGCACACCTTGACTGGGATGGGACGCCTGTGTTTGGAGTGATCATTTTTACGACCGGGTTTTGCAACCCTTTCGGCGTTTTGAGTGCTCAGTGTTCTGACGTGATTTGATTGCGTGTTCGGAAGTGATCGAAAGTGGCAGCGTTCAGAAGTGATTTTTGTTAGCGTTCGGAAGTGACTCCGCCGGGGCTTTGAAGGAGCCCGCGCAGGAGCTGGAGGTCTGGAGGTGTTGAAGGAGCTGGGCCGTTAAGAACAAACTGAGCCGCGCGCAAGGAGAAGCAGAAGTGCGCGGGCGCAGGGGCCAGCAACGCAGAGAAGATTGCAGAACGCAGGTCCAAAGAGCGCGCAAGGGCAGCAAATGAGGCTGTGAGACAGCAAGCCGCAATGGGTACCTATCTTCAGCAAGGACATTCGCCAAACGAAGTCCAAAACAGGGCCCGCACCTGGAAGGCGTCGCGCTAGTCCTCCAGGCACAGCGAAGGCGCCACGAAAAAACAGGGCACATGGCGAAAAGCCAGCAAGACGACGCAAGATCACAAAGGAAAGCGCAGAAAGATAAGGCAGAGACCTAACGGCTGTCGGAAGCACAACAGTGCGTGCAGATGCGAACGCTATTCCCCCCAACCCCCCCCCCAACCCCACCCAAAAAAAAGAGAGAAAAAATGCAAGCTCGCTGGGGCCGCTAGTGGCGGCGTGAGCAAAAAAAAGGCCGCGCCAAACCTCAAAAAGCCCTTCCGCCCCTTGGTGGTTGTGTTTGTGTCTGTGTGTGTGTTTGTGTTTGTGCTTGTGTGTGTGTTTGTATATTTGTGTTTGGGTTTATGTGTGTTTGTGTGTTTGTGTGTTTGTGTTTATATGTGCTTGTGTGTCTGTGTGTTTGTGTGTCTGTGTGTCTGTGTTTGTGTGTTTCGTGTCTGTGTGTTTGTGTGTTTGTGTGCATTCTACCGGTCATAGCGACGGAATGACGCTTGCCTTGTGTTGTGGGACTAAATGGAATCTCTGCAGCAACGGTCTGCGAACATTGAACGTGTGGGCTCTCGGCAGGTTGTTTGAGGCAGTTCCACCTGGAACTTGGCAGAGTCTCTTCACCTGAAATATAGCCGGAGGTCACGGGCATAGCTTGTTTTGGGCTACCATCCATGAGTTGCAAATATACTAGTAGCAGACAATGGCCGTGAAGCATGTCTCATTATTAAACCATTTCGAGCTAGTATGGTTTGTTCACCACTTGCAGCTTCTGCTCCAGTTGACATGGTTTGTAAAGCATGTTGCGCCGCAGTGGGGGGAAGTGACTTGCTTGGCATGGCGGATGGCAATGTAGACTTCGTGCCGAGGTCTTCAGGATACGACATCGCCCCATTCAGTCAGGCTGCAAGCATGGCCTGGGTGTGGTGCAACTGACGGCCTTAAACCAGTAGATTCTATCGTTGCCTGGAAAAGAGTGGCCGCACAAGACCAAATGCCATGGCTCGGGTGAGCATGGTGCGTTGATTTCCATTCTTGTACGAGAGTCATGTGGAACACTCGACTTTGTAGGTAAGTGTACGTGGGCTCAGTGTCCGAACTGTGGATTTGTCACATGGGCATTTGCTCGTATAGTTAAAAGAGTGCTAAAGGAGTAGACGAGAAAAGAGTGCTAAAGACTGCTAAAATAGTGCTGCAAGGGTGGCAAGAGTATTTACTACTGAAAGCAACCAGCACTTCTTTCGTGCGCTTCTGGTTGTGACTACCCTAAACCATAAAATTTCAACTATAACCCAACCTCAGACCTGCCACTACGAACGTCCCATGATGTCGACGGTTCCTTCCAAACCCCAAGAGCAGAGCGTTTGCCAGCTAACGTCCCAGCAATTTGGCTCTTCCTGGGCGTTGGAGCACTTTCGCATCAACTTTTTCAGCAATAGGAAGTAAAACTTATGGCGTTGATTTTTTTTGGGAGCAGTTTGGGTTGTGCTCAAAACCTCTCCCTGGATTACAGTAGCAACTTGGTGGCACATTCTGGCTGGAAAGGCATCTCCAAAAGATGGCAGTGATGGCATGGAAATTGGCAATCCACGAAATAGGGAAGTGGCTCAGCGGCAAGCTGACTTGCCAGGGCCTGCAGCGGCTGATGACGCCCAGTGCCAAGGCGAAGAAGCGTGCGCTGAGCTACGCCAACAAGCGTGGCCGGCTGAGTTCTTGCAAGAATCAGCCACCTGCACAATGATGTGTGCTTCAATCACGGTCTTGATAACAAGTATGGCGAACCCACGATCCATGGGCGTGTGCCATTGAAGCTGTATGCACCTGTATGTAGCTTGTGCATTGTTTGCAAAGGAGGGGAGGACTTAAATGACTAGGAACAGTACACAGTACACCCTTAACAGTACATTGCCAGGACTGCTTGGGCCTCAGCGCCCGTGGTTGCCGTCCACATCCGTGCTCGCGAAGAGGGCGAGGACTGGTGCACTGTCAGACTAAGTGGAAAGTCAATTGACCTTAGGACCTTTCCTTGATGATAGAATATAACCAGGGGCCTCCGGTCCCGGGACCGGTCCTGGGACCGGTTCGCAGAGCAAGGAATCCGAAGCTAGACTAATAGAGCCCAGGTTAACTCCAGAGGCTAGGACGGGAGGCAGAGGGTCGGCGGATTTTTTGGTGGTCCAGAGCATTGTGGCGTTGATGCCTTCTTTTGTATGGAAGTTTGCTCCCAGGCAGCCGTACAGACTTACACGGTGTTGCATTGAGTTATGTTATGTTTGACGTGGATGAGCAGAGCACGGCAGTTAGCAAAGGCAGAAACGAATTGGCAGGTTATGGCCTGTTTCTGCTGAAGAGCGGGCAACAGTTTCCGTTCAGCAGCTAGATCACATACTGACTAGTAAGATTATGGAACATCAAAGCGCAATCCACACACACAAACACACACACACACACACACACACACACACACACACACACACACACACACACACACACACACACACACACACACACACACACACACACACACACACACACACACACACACACACACACACACACACACACACACACACACACACACACACACACACACACACACACACACACACACACACACACACACACACACACACACACACACACACACACACACACACACACACACACACACACACACACTACACACACACACACACACACACACACACACACACACACACACACACACACACACACACACACACACACACACACACACACACAGACACACACACACACACACACACACACACACACACACACACACACACAGACACACACACACACACCCACACACACACCACACCCACCCACACCCACACCCACACCCACACCCACACCCACACCCACACCCACACCCACACCCACACCCACACCCACACCCACACCCACACCCACACCCACACCCACACCCACACCCACACCCACACCCACACCCACACCCCCACACGCACGCGCACGCACACGCACACGCACACGCACACGCACACGCACACACATACACACACATATACACACACACATAGACACACACACACACAGACACAACACACAACACACAACACACAACACACACACACACCACACACACACACACACACGCTATCCTGCGCAAAGCGTGACGCAGGACAATGATGACTGGCCAACTGCTGAGTCGCCACAGGAGGCACCATCCTGGATGTGCACGTGTGTGGCGCAGAGATTCTGTCGAAAAGTCAGCAAGTGTTTGGTGAAAGGGTCTGTTTTGTCTGTGTGAGGACTGCGAGCCCGCTCACATGTCGTGTTACGAGCTGAGTCTACCGCAATTGATTGGCATGTGCACGGCAATGGCCATTTCCCCAGCACGAACAAGAAACTGCATCCAGAGCCACTGGCACACCACTTACCATGCGGAGGCACTATGCAGCTCATTTGACTCTGGCTCAACAAAGTTGTTTTCAGTTGCACAAACCTATTCTCCGGCTCGGAGTCTTGCAACAGTGACCCAGCACGCGCTGGCTGTAGCCAGACGCGGTCTTGCCAGGAATTGCTGGCCAGCTTGACCAAGTGTATCGAGCAGGCCTTTCCGAGTGCCGGAATTGTGCATTCTTGTTTGCACGGTTGCAGTGATGGTAGTCGTGATTAATACCAGAACCTCCTGATATATATATATATATGTTGTTTGCTTAATTTGATGGGAAAAGGAAGCCAAGGATGGTGAAAGAACTGTGTGCAAGGGTTGGCTAGAAAGATTTCGCTGTACTGACTAAGTGTTTCAGCCCTGTGCAGTACAGTCACATGGCAGACAATGGGAAACAGCGAAAGTGATGGACTGGGATTTCGAATGCAAGGCCTGCAATGGCGGTGACATATCCCACGAGATCACTGGCGAAGTAGCTCTGGGCACTCTTGAACTGAGCACCCGCAACAATAGAAACCAGCTGCTTTTCTGCACCATTTGGTAGACTGCGTAAATTTGCCAACTGCCCTGAGAGAGTGGAGACGCAGCAAGTCATACGAGAAAGGCCTCCTCATTTCGCGTAAGGGTTGGAGAGGCAGGAATTTAAATTCAGCTTGAAGTGGTCAGAGGACAAGACCTTGCGAATGGACAACACAGTCCGAGTCGATGTTGCAGGCAGTTCACCTGGAGTTTGGGGACGTCAAGACCTGGGACGTTTACCTTGCTGCGACGACGGACAAGGCTCGCAGCAGATGGGATCTTCTTGCGTTTAAATGTGGACATTCTAGCGGCATGTGTAATCGAGTGTTATCAGTCAGATAGTACTGAGCTGGACAGGACGTGCTGGACAAGACTTGCATGTAAGGCACACATCGAACAATCTGCGGGCAAGCTCGGCCAGGCGCGGAAGGTGGTTTCCGAGCATCTCAAGCAGAGCTCTCCCAACCTTGGAAGGAGCGCCCTTGCACAAACCAACCGAAGCCGCCAGCCAACCTGGCATTTGCTGCTGGGTGGTTTGTGTGTTGCAAGATATTAGTGACAAGAACTTTCAAAGTTCAGGAATATCTATGAGTTGCCACTAGTTTCATACAAGTAGTACCGCGCAAGGCGGTGGCGGAAGTTTCTAAAAAAGAACCACTATAGGAGGCTTGAACAACCAGGGCAAACATGTTTGGGGCCAAATTGAAAACCAATCATGTTTTGTTTGTGACGAACATGGCCAAACGGTCACAAAAGAAATCAACAGGTCATGTCTTCACAGGCAACTATTCCACCGCTCGGACAAAAACTGGAAAGAAAACCTGGCTGACAGGGAGCCTGCCTGACCGCAAATGTTTGACAAGTCTTAAGCCTCCATCATTTACCCTTTGTTACCATCCGCCCGCCCGTTGTCCCACCGGCTCTTTTTCCTTTTTATGCGGGCAGATTCACTTTGTCTCTGTTCAAGGCAGCACGGTCAGAAAAGACGCATGCTGCCAGGCAAGGCACACTGCAAGGCACACGGCCTGGCAAGCGCCGGGCGGTCAGAAAAGACGCACCCTGGCGCATCTCAAGCGCATTCAGCGCTGTCTTGTCAAGCGTTCAAGGTCATCGTGCACCTCTTGCGCCGCGGTGCGAAGCTGGAGACACTCGTCAATGTCATTTTGCTCGAAGTGTTTTTTGGCGTGCAGCGGAGTAAAGGCAACCAAGCCGGGTATGTCTTGGCCTTCGTTGCTGTGAAACTCAGGGAGCCAGCGGGGAAGGCCTATGAGCATCACGCGGTCATCGCCGTCTGCTGCTCTTTCGTCCGCACGGGCCACAAAGCCTAACTCCTGCAAAAGCGTGCGAAGATACTGGCTGGCCCGCTGGTCTCGCGCGCGCGGGTCAGCCCCTTTGCTTCCGATCTCCGTGTACCTCAAGTATCGCTGCGCGTTCAGAGTGGCCATGATGCCGTGTTTTTTGTTGAAGCCATGCCAGTGTGGGCACACGGTGCCAAAGCCCATAAGCTGCTTGTGCCTGCGACATCTTCCAAGAGGGCATGTGTCGTGCACCAAGTAGTGCTCGATGTCCCCCGCATCGTTTAAGTATCCAATGGGGCGATACTTTTCACCCCACATGGTGCAGCAAACGGGTCGCACCACAGAGCGGGCAGCGTGGTGCCTCTTGCGGTAGTTATGCGCCACCCAGCCGGCATCGGCATCGCCAGGACGCGTGCGCTGCGCTCTGATGCCGCAGCCTAAAAGAAAGTCATACAAGGCAACATCCCAAGCCTCCTGGCGCGCCAAGTGCACGGAAGCACACATGCCCAGCATGAGCTCCACGTGTGCTCGCAAGTGTGGATGCATCACACTGTCGGGCCTCAGCGTGGCCATGATTTCAGCTCCCAAAGCTTGCAAGTGGATTTGCGCTCCAAGGGCTGAGACAGGGGCAGAAAAGCCGCCTGCGTGGCCAGCAGCAGGGGCAGAAAAGCCGCCTGCGTCTGACATCCACCAAGGCATGCCGAGATTGGATTGCTCGAAAGAGGCTCGCCAGTCCCTTGAAAGCAGGACGTGCCCCAAAGTCATATCTGCAGGCACCGGCAACGGGACTTGCAAGCAGACATCCGTCTCGGAGATCACATTGTCCCGCGAAGTGTTTAGGGGCTCACCAGTGTTGTCGCCCCAGTTCACCTCCATCGCCCCGGCCGAGCATCGAATGGCCGGCAAGGCTCTCGGCAAGGGCAAAGCGCCGCTTGCCTCCAAGTAAACATCGTGCTCCATAAAGGACTGCCGCGGCGGAAGCTCCGGCAGCAAGCCGAGATCGGAAGCAGCCACATGGCGCCGCACCTGCTTCAAGTCTGCCCGGTAGCCCTCGGGGATCAAAGGATCCCTGCACATAAGCGCGTACTCTTCCGAGAAGGCAGTCTCATCAATTTCGTGCGCCACGTCCTGCTGCGCCGCCCACCAAGCCTCCCAGTCGGCAGTGTCTGGCAGCAATAAGCGGAGAGCGTCTGCTCCCTCTTCAGTGTTGGAGTACTGCTCCAAGTTTGCACGGTTCACGAAGCCGCAGTATCCTTCGGGAGTCAGGCCACCCGGGCGCAACGCCGCGGAGCCTCCATCTTCGACTGGCCGGCACAGTCGGTTCAGGGCACGCTCGAGACGCCGGCGCGAGACCAGAAAAGGTACTCGCTGCTTCCTGTGCACATCCTTGCTGCAGCGGCGTATCAGGAGCATTTTCATGTCTCCAACTGCAGCAGCGGGCCGTTTTGAAAAAGGTTGCCCACGTGGCCTCGCAGCTCACACTGGCCCGTGCCGTACAGCGTAAAGATCCGCACCAAGTGCTGGATCGGGGACAGGATCTCTTCCTCGAAGAAAGTCAGGGCATCGATCTCCGGGAGAGTCTCTCCCGGATCTGCGTGGTTGGCCGCCGTCAAGCGGAACGGCTCCTTGGGCAACATCGCCTTGGCACGTTCCTTGGCTTCGTGCAAGCAGTTCTCACAGATTGGCTTGCCGGCTTCCAGCCAATCGGCCTCAGGTGCCCGACAGAAGTTGGTCTTCTGAAACGCTTGGGTCTCGAAGCCTCCGGGCAGGCCACTCTTGCCTTTGCCTGCGGCAATGCCGAACCAGCCTTCCTTGCAGTAATGGCAGTCCTGAAACTCCATGCTCAGCATGTAGGAGTCCACCTCATGCACACGGTGGAAAAACGGCATTATGCGGGCTTCGGCGTCCATGCTGTTGCCGTACAACTGCCGTAAGCTCTTTGGCAGCCGAGGCCGCGGCAAGTGGTCCCCTAAAACTGTCTCACTGGCGTGCAGCTTTGGCTCATGCCATGCCTTTAATGGCATGTGTTCCACTTCGATGAGAAGCGGCTGCAGCGCCCTGCGAACACGCTCTTGGTCCACCAGGGACAGATGGCACCAAGTTCTCCGGAGGAAATCATAGCCGAAGCGAAAATCATCATCGGCTTTCTTGCCATGGCCGCTGAACAGCTCCTCGGCACAAGTAGCTCGCAGTGCCTGCAGCTCGGCCTTTCTTTGCTGAAGCATAGTCAAAAACTTTTCGACCAGAGCGGTTTCGGAGACACACAAGTCACGCTCCCAGCCTTGCACGAGTGCTTCTTGCTCCGGCGACAGATGCTGTCTGTATCTTTTGAGAAACATAGCACAAAAGGAAGAGCTTACATCAGCTCCCTGGTCAAGGCTTTGCAATGCCTTCACCAGGGAGCTCTTTTCTTGAGCTCGCAGCACGGCAGAGTAAGCTTGGACAAAAGCACTCAGCCTTGCAAAGCTTCGTTGAAGGCCGGCCAGAAAAGGCGCAGCCTCCAACTTGGACTTGTCACAAAGCACAAACTCCCAGTCTTCTAAATGCTCTTTCTGGTCGGCATTCAACAATGCCACGTGCCTGTCGAAGAAATTCTTAGCTTGCTTCCAACGTGTGTCGGAATTCGCGCGGTTGCTGCTGACAACAGCTGACAAGCTTTGCTTCTGTAGCTGAGCAATTTCAACAGCATTCTGAGCGAAGAAGGCTTGCACTTCGACAAAGGCAGGAGCACGACGCGATGCTGCAGCTTCTTTTGCCGCAGCACTCACTTGACACAACTCAGCTTCCTTTGCAAGCAAAAAATCCTTTTCCGCAGACGCCAAGCGGTCGCTATAGCGCAGCAGGAAAACACGGCAAAAGCTCGACAATTGAAATTCCTGCATGTGTCGACTCTGCAAAGCTGCCAGCAAGCTTGGCTTGCTTGAGTATCTTATCGCCTCTGCCGTCTCTGTCAAAAATGCCTCCACGCGGCAAAAACAGCATTGAAGGCCGGCCAGAAAAGGCGCAGCCTCCAACGTGGACTTGTCACAAAGCACAAACTCCCAGTCTTCCAAAATCTGCTGCTGAGCTGGCTCCAAGCTTGAAAGTTTTCGTCTGCAGAAATTTCTGGCTCGCTCCCACTCTGGTACCTGACTGCGCCGCTTGCTGTTGAGCAAAGCTGTAAGCGTCGGCTTCTTCATTTGCACAAGCTCCTGCGAGTAGGCTGCCAAAAACGCCACCGTCTTATCAAATGCGTCTGCCATGGCGTCCGGAGCGGTCAGAAAAGACGCGCTCCACCGTGCGGGATACACAAGGAAACGATGTCACTGGCATGTGTCTGTGGAAGTATATGCGTTCTGTGGGAACACAAACTAAAAAAAAAACATCAAGAGGTTGTCCGCCTGAGCGTGATGCTGGTAGGTCGGCTGGTGACAAACAACAAACTAGAACATTAACATGTTCTCGGCCTGTGTGTGGTGCTGGTGGGAGTGCTGGTGAAAGTGTAGTGGTGGTAGTGGTGGTGGTGATGTGAGTTGCCGCTCCGCGATTGAAGCCGGGACATGAACAAACATGAACAGTGGTGGTGGTGATGCTAGTGATGCTGGTGACGAAAACCGGGACATTGAACAAACATGACATACGCGGAGCAACTGACAAGACAGAGCCGAAACGCCACACGGTCACAGCGACATTACCTCCCTATCTATCTATCTGTCTATCTACCTATCTATCTGCCTGTCTACCTCTCTATCTATCTGTCTACTTGTCTCTCTATCTTTCCAGCTTTCTATCTATCTATCTATCTATCTATCTGTCTGTCTGTCTATCTATCTAGAGCGCGACTAACTCAACAGGGCAGCGTAGGATGCCTTGCGCGTTGCCATTCCAATGCGTTTTACCACTGCCAAGCTGCATTCCATCTTAGAAATGCGCACCGCGCGCAAGCGCCACGCATTTTTTCCAAATTGGATGAAAGCCTTGCGCGTTGCCATTCCAATGTGTTTTACCACTGTCAAGCTACATTGCATCTTAAAAACGCGCACCGCGCGCAGGCGCCACGCATTTTTCCAAGTTAGATAAAAGCCTTGCGCGTTGCCATTCCAATGCGTTTTACCGCTGTCAAGCTACATTGCATCTTAAAAACGCGCACCGCGCGCAGGCCGCGTGCGATTTTTGAAAGTTGGAGCTTCCAAAAGTAGCCCGACCCTCTCAGGTTTTTACGATTTTGACTTCCAAATGTGCACCGCGCGCAGGCCGCGTGCGATTTTTGAAAGTTGGAGCTTCCAAAAGTAGCCCGAGCATGTAGTGTTTTTACGATTTTGACTTCCAAATGTGCACCGCGCGCAGGCCGCGTGCGATTTTTTGCCAGCAATTCCGACCAAAGGCTCCGCACCCGCCGCTTTACCGAAGTAACTTCTGGGCCGTCTGGAGGCTCAAAACATTGAAAAATACAGCATTTCGCGACCTTTCTAACATTTCGCACACCATGCTTCATCTTTCTTCATCGCTTCTTCATCTTTCTTCATCGCTTCTTCATCTCTTCTTCTCTCTCTCTCTCTCTATCTCTCGCTCTGCACTGCTCTGCTTGAGTTGTCGATATTGTCGGAAGTTAGACTTCTAAACTTCCTTCGATTAGATAGTGTTGTGCACAATAAGATGTCGTGATTGCCTAAACCAATCATATGTTTCTGACGGTTTGTTGGAGATGCAAATTGATTTCCACAAACTGTTGCCCACCAAAGACAGCATCAGAGAGCAATGCGTTAGGCGGCTACTGGGTGTTGCAGGGCGGTTTCAGAGCTTCTGCTTTCCCGCGCATATTTGTGTGTGTGTGTGTGTTTGCCATCGTGAGGGCGTTGGCCTGAAATACATGCCACCAGAAGGTCCAAGAGGGTTTGTCACTATGATAATTAGTTTCAGACTAGGATGAATCTGTTCAATCCACGCGACAAACCATGGTTCATGCATGAGGATTCTGAGCTTACCCAAGCTGGAGCGCAACCGCCGCACCGGCGCCGGGACCGTGGATGCCATGGCGGAGGACGGAAAGTGAATCGCTCGGGCAGGATGTTTGGCATGTCTCCCGTTTTTTCCTTAGACCCTGCCGGGTGTCGCATCTCAATGTCTTTGACCCTGGCCACGGTCCATGGCCTCTTCGGCATCAGCTGTGAGAAAAGTGCAGATTCGCTTCACATTGTTTGCCTTTGTTTCATCCAAGTTGAGATTCCTTTGTTTGGGACGTGAGCAGTTTCTTTGATGGTTGGTTGGCTGTTGTCAACCGCCACTGTCCGAAACTTGCCGCCTCTGACAGGCTTTGCTGCTTTCACGAGCAGACATTTTTGTCCGATTCGTTGCCGCAGCCTGAGTGCAACAACCCTGAGATGAGCCGACAAACGCCTTGGACAGCGGTGAGCTTTGTTGTGGCGGTGTGCCCTTGGCGGAAAACCAGTCGTCATGAAGGAGACTGCACTCCACCAACGCAAGACATTTATTCTCATGTTGCATGCCATCGGTGTTGGGTGTTCAGCGGCTTTGTGCAGTGTCATCAGTTTTGCAATGTCGAAGTCTGTTCTGAGCAATGCATACCAAAAAGAGGGCAGCATCATTTACAGCTGGCAAAACTGCGCCTCCACGAAATGTTGAAGCATGGCCACATGCAGAACTGTGCCTGGAAACAAGTACGTTATCAGTTTGGCCAGCACGAGCCAAGACTGAAAAACAGACACGACTGAAGATTGCATACCACTTTGGCCATCATGATGTAATTCGTGTGAACCGGTGGGTTGTCATCTCGTCTAGCCCAGGAGCAATAGGCAGTCACAGAACAAACAAATAGATAGACAATGATAGACAGGCACACACACACACACGCCCAAACACACACACACACACACATCTCGACACAAGAAGACGAAAGACACAAGGATGCTTGGAATGACATGCACAGTCTATGAACACCCGCGTTGGTACACACACACTCAAATTAGAAAGCTAGCTCAACAAACGCACATAAACAAACACAAACACGCACCAACCGACCAAGGCACAAACACTGTACTTATATGCGCTCGCACACCCACGCACGTATGGGCCCTGAATTTGACGTGGGCAACTCCAACCAGAAGCTCACTTGTCCTTCTTTCTTAAGCACAGCTTGTTGCCCTTTGCGAGGTCGGCACAACTGGCTTTAGCCCGAAGCTTGGCAGTGCTCAGAGCTGCAGAGTATGTAATGGGATTCAATGGCATTGGTCAGTCATTGAGTTTCGGAAGGCACGCCGTGTTCTGATCAAGTGATGGGCGTCCTGGCCAGTTCTTCAAGGCGCAAAATGTAGACGTTGGCTAATAGTCATTGCTCCAGTTGATGCATAAACTGAGCCATCAGCACCCCCCTGATTCCTGTGGCAAACTTTTGCAGATGACGACACAGGCAGAAGCCCTGCTTAGCTTGGCCAACATCTTCAATTGAAGTGATCCCAACCATACGAATGCCTGAACCTTGGCTTGTATGTCTTGCACTGAGCATTCCGGCCCCAACCTACTTGAGTTATTCCAAGCTTCATGGTTGGTACCCGATGCCAGTTGCTTCCCTTGGCTTCGGATTCCGGAGCTAAGTTTGGCTTTGCAACAGAGCAGGGTAGCAGCGGGGCAAGAAATGGGAAGATCCCTATGTTCGAGGAGCCTAGGGCCTTGTATCCGAGGTACCTTCGCTTACCTTGCGAACGCCCTGCGGTGTCCAGCTTAGCCTGGACCAGACCGACTTGGAAAGATTCATCTTCACGTATCTCTAAGCAACATACTTTGTTTCAGGGATGTTGTGAGCTGATTACACGCAAATATAAAAGTTTACAGGGTGCCTTCCTCAGCTGCTTTTCGAAAAGCAAGGACGGAATCCAATTTGACAAGCTTGCTCTGAAGGCAGCTAGGATGTGGTCGGCTTTGAAAAGAACAATACTTGTGTGCAGCATGTCGGATGGAGTGGCGCTGAATACAAAGACCACCAGTTTCGCAATTGATGTGTCTCCGCGTGTTTGCCTTGAATTGGGAAAAGTTGCGAGGAACTAGGATTTATCTACACCGGAAGCTTCAGCTTCGTCGCTGACGGTGTTTTTGTTGTTCGAAGCTTAACTCGAAGTTTTTGTCGACTCATTGGCCTTGGTTCATTGGCATTCTGGACATTCCCATCGCCCCGGGCCAAGCTTCCCTTTGCCAAGGTTCCAAAGTGACTGGGCATCTAGCCTGCCGCCGTTGCGCCGCGAGGGGGTGCGCTTTGGGTGAGAGGGAGTGGGGCAGAGGGAACTGGGAGCCAGCAACTCGGCATCTCCAGATTCCTTGCTGGGGCTGGAGGGTGCCAAGCGTGAATCAGCCAAATAGTAGGAAGAGGATTGCTCACGTTTTCCAAGCCCGCCTTTTGTCAAGTGGGGCAGAGTAGTCCTGTCTTACTGTAGAAATTTTGGGCGTGTCGCCTGCAGGTATGTACATGTGTTGTTGAAACTTCAGCTGCTTCGGTGAGCGGGAATGACTTGGTATTTGACCGGTTTGATATTATAGCACCATTTGCCTAAGTGTTGCAATGCAAGACTAGGCTAAGAAAGCCGCACCATGGCATTTGACTTGGCTGGGAAAGGCAGGCTACAGAGTTGGTGTTTGCTGTTGAGAGGTTGGGCCTATCAAAAAGTACATAGTTGGCCGTTGTGGCTGCAAGAATGGGAAGGGTGCTTTGCCGATGTAATACTCACTATGTTGCCTGAATGTGTTTGCCTCTCGTGGCAGCTGTCTATAAGAGTGAATCGGTTTGCCCACTTGTTTTCCGTGTTTAGCCACTACGGCGCCCAGCGTCCTGTGACGGCGCAAATGATTCGAACATGCAGAAGACAACCCGCAGAGCTTTAAGTTATTGTCTTCAATACAACAGGGGGCTTCAAGCCGAGCGACTGCATACGGCGAGCCATGATCATGCAGGCTCCAGAAAAACTGTTTAGTGCGTCAGCTGTTTGCTTTTTTGCCACAGCCCTGGATCACTGCAAACCCGCAGTATGCGCCGAACTACGTGGTCACAGCTGAGTGCGGGCACGAGCACCGTTACTTGGTGCATATTTCTGCGTGAGTCCGTGCCTTTAATTGTTTGAGCCGTGTTGTCAAAAGTGCCGTTAAAATCGCTGAAGGTTTCAAGGTGTGTCACACACACAAACGATGAGATGTTGGTGGATGACTGTTCTGTGTGTTTGTGTGTTTCTGTGTTTCTGTGTTTCTGTGTTTCTGTGTTTGTTTGTTTGTTTGTTTGTTTGCTTGCTTGTTTGTTTGTTTTTCTTTTTGTTTGTTAGTTTTGTTTTGTTTTGTTTGTTTGTTTGTTGTTTGTGGTTTGTTTGTTTGTTGTTTGTTTGTTTGTTTGTTTGTTGGTTTGTTTGGTTCTTTGTTTCTTTGTTTCTTTGTTTCTTTGTTTGTTTTTGTTTGTTTGCTTCTTGTTTGTTTCTCTGTCTCTCTCTTTCTTTCCCTCTTTCTCTCATGCTCTGTCACTCACACTCTCTCTCGCTCTCTCTATCTCTCCTTCTCTCGCTCTTTTTCGCGATTGAACGACCCGACTGAAGCTTGCCTTCGTTTTGAAGGGGAGTCGTTGCAGAATGTGACTATGATATCTTGACTTAGCAGTTATATGTGTGTATCAGTGTATATCGGACGATGATTCTAGGCTTGTCGGCAGCCTCAAGCGTGGCGGCCTGCAACGCAATTCCCGGAAAGGTTGACTGTTGGAGTCTTCGGCGTGTCAGCCCCGTGGACAGCCTGATTTAGTGATGTTGTTAGATGATTATATGACTTTCTGGCTGTACGATGTTGCGCTAGTTTTAGCCGGCTTCGTGTTAACTCAACCTTCAAAAAGGCAGACGGTTGGCTGGGGTGGGGGCGCAGCACATGTTGCGAATACACTTACAGTATATATCATGTATTCAAATATTATGTATCATGTGTATGTATACACTTTAAAAATACCCATACATGCACATTCGCATGTATTGCTTGTAACTCGAACCAAATGTGACACAGCACCCAGTTGCAATCTCCAAGGATGCTTCGAAGCACCTGCGGAGGTGCGCCTGAGGGCAGTGAATGGACGGGGCAATGCAACTTCCGGATAACTTGTTTGGTGTATCGCCACCTTGGGTTGGAGCACGTGCAGTATGCCTTGCATTGTGGATCTGGATGGGCTTGCTGAGCGCCCAGAGCTCTTTGGTTTGCTGGATGGGACAAGATGTCTTACTTCTTGGGGATCCTTGCAGGCAATCACGAATTAGGACCTGCTCATCAGTTATTTGATGACCTCAGCTGCCAACTCGCATGACACACTGCAGGTCCGGATGGCAGACGTCTCATGGCACGGGAAGTATGTCACGGGCCGCTCGCGGAACACCCAGTTCGTCAAAGTGGGCAGAGTTGAAACGCTTACTGCACATCGGTGCAGTGGAGTCGAGCGATGTGTGCAATTGTAAGCCCTCCTTTTGTGAAGCCATCCGAACTGTTCGCAGTCCTGCAGCTGAAGATGTGTCTTGCATATGTTTAGCAATGTTGATGGCCACGTTAGCGATTGCAAAACGGTAACTCTTCCCCCAGATTCCAGACATAGCTCACTCGCCCAGGTGTGGGGACGTGGTGGCCAGGCTCAAGCAGAAGATCGGCTGCCCCGCTTTGAAGCCGGCCAGCCTTCAGGAGGAGGAGGAAACCGCCAGACCGTCAATCCTCACGTAGTCACTGTATCCCTTTCTGCACCAGGAAAATGAGCAAAGGGCTAAAGGTATTCCAAAAAGAAGGTCAGATCCAACGCGTAGCTTGATTTGAGAGATTGCTGAAATCCCTTTCAGGGTCTTTGCTCTCCAAACTCCAGTTGCCAAACGATGAGTCCCATCTCCCCTTTCCTTAGGTTTTTTGTGCCTGGTAAGAAAAACATGTTAATGGGGCGCCTCGGTGCCTTCAGTTTGCAGGTCCCCTAACTGCAACCGCAAGCCAAACTAAGTCGGTACGGGGCTTGTGTACGGTAACAGAGCGACGCTCTGTGGAGGATGCCCATCGACCCGTTGAGGTATATGATTATGATTATCACATTGCAGGCTTTACCAGTTGTTTGCTTTTGCAGGAAGTAACCAGGACTGTCGCCATGTTCCCCTGGGGAGTGTATCCTTGGAGTCATGGCCTTTTCAGCTGAGAAGCGGCTCCTGCGTGTCAATGTAGCAGCTGTGTAGGGAGCACAGGGGTTGAAGCTTGCAGGGGTACATGTGCGAGAGTCCTTCGCATATCAAGATCTCAAAAGTCTATTGTCTTGCTTCTTGCAGAGGAACTGTCAGGGGAAGGCTGAATCCCGTAGTTTTGACAGCCTCAGGGGTATCAGTTTGTCAGCACATTGTTCAATGTTTCAAGCGCAAAGAACACCTGCATAATTCATGATGGTTCTGAGGATTTTGTTCAAGGGCTGCACACGCTGTTGCAATCGATGTTTGGTTGTGCACGTTCAATCGAAAAGCAGCAAACCAAGCTGCCTGAACACCTCAACCTCAGCAATGCAGGTTCTAGAAAGCAATCAGGGCTCAACAAAGACAAGGTGTTGACGGGCAAACTCAACCACATCATGAGCCACCAACATGATGTTTTGTTCCCCGGGAAAGGTATGTTGGCAACATGAGAGTTGTTGACATGTGACACGCCATATATAATATGTGTTGAAAGAGCACAAGCAGTGTATCCAGGGTGAATCTCAGCACGCTTGGAAAGGTTGCTGTGCCATGTTCCATAAAAGCACTTGGCGAGCTGTCTCGGTTTCTAAGTGGCCTGAAGATGCCTTATGTTGGGATGTTGGATTGCGGTTGCAAATGAGAATCAGAGAGCCCAATTCACTGCTCGTTGTGAGTCTGCTCAACAGAGCTGTCAGCATGCCAAGCAATAGTCGTTTGACATTTGCCAGGAGCTCTGAGTTGGCGCATCGCTGCTTGTGGCCAAGGTGGCCAAGAGAAAAGGTGCTGATGTTGTTTGCTTGCTTGCCCTTTGCTTGCTTGTTTGCCAGCTTGTGTGTTTGCTTGCTTGCGTGCTTGCTTTGATTGCTTGCCTGGTTGAGTTGGTTGGCTAGTTTTGGGAGAAGGCAGTTTTGCCAGCTTTTATGTAGCAAGGGCTCAGCCACATATTTCACTTCGTTGTCATTGTCTGGTTTGGAATTGTGCACATGATGGGGAGGACTGCGAACTTGCTGGCACAAGATGTAGGCAGGTTGCTGGGGATATTGCTAAGGTTCATACAAACTACGAACCAATATGAATCTTGGGTATGATGGGTTCAATCTTGTGGTGCTGGCGCGTTTGAGGGGGGCTTAGCTTCGGGGCTGGCTTGAGAGTCACCAATGAAAGGCGTGCCTGCTTTGTTACCAAAAGCAATGTCGAAAACTGAGTGCGGCAGTGAAACCCGGTTGCCTCATTATGTCATTGAACATTCATGACAACATATGTCATAACAAACAATATGTGTTCACTCCGGATCATCAAAGATGCTCTTCGAGCCTTTGGAATATTTTGATCAAACGTCAGGATTCTTGCCAATGGAACCAAGACTTCATCGTGGTCAAGCAACCCCGGTTTGAGACATCCATCGAATCATGACATCACGGCTTTGCAAAGCTTGGGCAGCTCGACAGATTGTGCCCGTTGAGCCTGATGCGTCGCATGGTTACGCCGATCACTGCAGCGCGATGTCTTGGTGGTTGAGCTTGAAGAAATGATCATCCCGTACAGTAGGTTTGCATATGGACAACTTGCCGGACCTTAAACGTCTCATTGGCGGTCGCACAATCGAACATAGCTAAAGGCGGCAAGCTGTTGCCATTGTCTCACTTGCCGTAGCCACACAAGTACTCCTTGCCTACAGCATGTGTGATGTTTCCCTTCCAGGCATTTGGCACATAGGCCACAAGCCTTCTGAGATGCCGCGACTATGGTTCATAGCTGAATGTCGAACATGGTTTTGGAATCATGACAAATGACTGTAACATTTGCCAAAACCAACGTCATTTTAAAAGCCCACCGCTCGCCGCCGGCCAGATTTCGGCTTCAGCTTACGCACGACCCCTGTGTCGCTTTCTGCCTACTGCCCGCCATGCCGGCCAAGCTGAGCATTAACGATGTGGACGTTGCTGGCAAGCGCGTGTTCATGCGCGTTGACTTCAACGTGCCACAGGAGTGGAAGAGAGGTCAATTTATGGGCCTGGACGGAGTGGCCTTGCAAGTACCATGTGCGACTGACTTGAAGGAAGCTTTGCTTGCCAGGCTCCTGAACTAAATTCCAGCCAGCAAAAGCAGCACATGTGAAAATTGCTGACGATCCGAAATCATGGTGACAATACAACGAGAACTTTGCATCAGATGCAGCGTTAGACATGGTTCGAACCGGTCCCGTGAAGCACTTTTGCCCAAAGGTCCGTCATCCAAACATAACGACTTTACCGTATGGAGGGGATTTGTCCAAGGGCAGACTCTTGACAAGCCAGCAGTGGCAGACACGGGGAGGTTTTGCGTTCGTGGCGCTTATGTAGTGCAGGTGATGCTGCCTCCAATACGCTGGCCGTTCTTGCTTTTCGAGCAACGGCTGCATCTCGATCATGACAGCATCAGTTTGGTGCTGATGAGACAATCGATCTTATCTACGCGTGTAATGCTGACTGTTCAGGCACTGCACATCCTGAGACTTGGTTCTTTGCGGAATGACTAAGATAGTAGTTGAGAATCCAAGATACATGTTGCCAGGCCGGGAATATTGAACATTGATTGCTTGGCAGGACAAGGCAGACCCTACCAAGATTACCAACACCCAGCGGATCGATGGCGCGTTGCCCACCATCCAGAAGGCGAACCCGAATCGCCAACCCATTAGCGGCTAAGCATCAGCGCTTCATATTCCATGTCATGCCACAGTTGTATCCGTTGGAAGTGCAATGCTGGCAAACGCACAAGCACAGAAACACAACCGCGAAAAACAAGCAAAAGAAAACAAACAGGCAAGCAAGCGAACGCACCAAAGTCACCAAAGCAAACAAGCACAGAGAAGCTCGGCGGGTGACAGCACGGATGCACGAGAGGCGGCAGCACGCATGCACTTGCTCAGTCACTCCCTCGCTCTATTACACAAAAACACAACGACACGCGCACACACACAGGCACACACGCACGCACGCACGCAGGCACGCGCGCACACACACACACACACCGCACGCACGCATGTGCATGCATGCACGCGCACAAACAGACACACACACACACACACACATACATACATACACACACACAGACACACACAGACACACACACACACACACACACACACACACACACACACACACACACACACACACACACACACACACACACACACACACACACACACACACACACACACACACACACACACACACACACAGACACACGCCCACACACGCGCGCACGCGCACACACACACACACACACACACACACACGCGCACACACACGCACGCACGCACCCACACACACAAACACACACGCACACACACACACACACACAAACACAAACACACACAAGCTTACACACACACACACACACACACGCGCACACACACACACACACACAGCACGCGCGCATGCGCGCACGCACTCACGCACGCACGCACACCATCCCGCCCGCCCGCCCGGCCCGCCTGCCCGCGCGCGCCCCTGCATGTGCTTGCACACGGGCACCCTCCAAATCAATTTGTCCACTGCTCACAGCCATGTTGAAGACACTGCAATTCCAAAGTCCAGCTGCAAATTCATCCAGACGTTTGAGGATCCAATTTCCAAAGGGTGGAACATATCGAACAACTAGGTGCTGAAAGCTGCTCTCAAAAATACGATTTCATTTCAGGCAATGATCTAGATCCAACGTGCCAACAAGAGCATTTCGACAGTTTGTTGGGGTCGCCATAGTTGGCTTGCATCACCAAGGGTTGCATGAGCCGGTGGACGTGCCATTGGAATGAGCCCGCTCGGTTTTCCAGTCAACAACCAGCCTAGGACTCTGTCGAACATTCAACTAACATGTGCAGATGACAACTAAATGTGCAGATGACCTTCATGTCATACATCCGTTGAGCCACCATGACCCTCATGAAAATTGCAGATGACCCTCATGAAAATTCTGGCAGGACGTTCTTTCCAAGAAAATCCCAGTGGCCCGATACTGCCGTGGTTCGGAGACCCGACGCGACACGCAGGTCTTGGCCAAGGGCGCCAAGTCCGTGGTCCTGGCGTCCCACCTGGGACGGCCGGACGGCAGCGCCCCTCGGGCTGCAGATGGCACCAATCCAACCCTGACTGCTTGCCGGCCCAAGCCAGTAGAGGGCCAACATGGCCAACCATGTACATAGTCATATTATAGTATGGTGCATTGATTTAGAGAAGATTGAAGCAAGGGCCGGGCAGAACCATGTCAATTCGAAACGAGGTAGGGTCATGACATATAGGTGGGAGATCACACACACAGACATGCGGCGTGGGAAAACGTCAATGAGTCAGGTGCAGGGTTGGAGAACGCGGTGGGAACACCTGACCATTTTAGCAAAGAACTGCTTTAGCTGTCATTTATAATAATTTTGCATACGCATATTGGGCAGTTTGCTCACAGAATTGCTAGGGCGCCTCACGAGTTGCGCAGAATTATTCGCCAGCTGATATATGGGCATGCAACTCGCGGGGAGGTCTGGGAACTCATGGGAAACCGTGAAGCTTGGGGAGCGCTTGTGGGAAACACTTACGGGAAACCTGGCCAGACAAAAAACGTGTGGCGTGTGGGACAGCTGTGCTGGTACTCCCAGGGTTCGCATGGGTTTTTTTTCGTAGTATTGATCACCCTTTGGGCACAGTTACTGCTTTGAGGCTCAGAGGCTTTCCCATGCATTTCCGCATTCTTTCAATATTCACCCTATGGAAGGCTTGAGTGGTGATTTTGGAGTCTTGCAGTTCACGCCCTGCTTCTAAGCAGCGTAAAGCTCACCGCTCTACCAAACATCGGTCGTGTATCGCATCATCAATGCAGTTCTCAGGCTGCAATGGCCCTTAGCGAAAAGCTTGCACGACTGCATGCTTGTGATACTCCAAGTGTGTGTGTGGGTGTGGGTGTGGGTGTGTGTGTGTGGGTGTGTGGGTGCGTGCGTGCGTGCGTTGCGTTTCGTTGCGTTTCGTTGCGTTGCGTGCCGTGCCGTGCCGTGCCGTGCCGTGCCGTGGCGTGGCGGTGCGGTGCGGTGCGGTGCCGTGCGGTGCGGTGCCGTGCCGTGCGGTGCGGTGCGGTGCGGTGCGGTGCCGTGCGGTGCGGTGCCGTGCGGTGCCGTGCGGTGCGGTGCGGTGCGGTGCGGTGCCGTGCCGTGCCGTGCCGTGCCGTGCCGTGCGTGCGTTCGTTGCGTGTGTGGCGTGTGTGTGTGTGTGTGTGTGTGTGTGTGTGTGTGTGTGTGTGTGTGTGTGTGTGTGTGTGTGTGTGTGTGTGTGTGTGTGTGTGTGTGTGTGTGTGTGTGTGTGTGTGTGTGTGTGTGTGTGTGTGTGTGTGTGTGTGTGTGTGTGTGTGTGTGTGTGTGTGTGTGTGTGTGTGTGTGTGTGTGTGTGTGTGTGTGTGTGTGTGTGTGTGTGTGTGTGTGTGTGTGTGTGTGTGTGTGTGTGTGTGTGTGTGTGTGTGTGTGTGTGTGTGTGTGTGTGTGTGTGTGTGTGTGTGTGTGTGTGTGTGTGTGTGTGTGTGTGTGTGTGTGTGTGTGTGTGTGTGTGTGTGTGTGTGTGTGTGTGTGTGTGTGTGTGTGCGTGCGCGCGTGCTGTGCGTGCGTGCGTGCGTGCGTGCGTGCGTGCGTGCGTGCGTGCGTGCGTGCGTGCGTGCGTGCGTGCGTGCGTGCGTGCGTGCGTGCGCGTGCGTTGCGTGGGTGTGCGGGTGCGGTGTGCGGTGCGGGTGCGGGTGCGGGTGCGGGTGCGGGTGCGGGTGTGGTGCGGGTGCGGGTGCGGGTGCGGTGTGCGGGTGCGGGTGTGGGGTGTGGGTGTGGGTGTGGGTGTGGGTGTGGGTGTGGGTGTGGGTGTGGGTGTGGGTGTGGGTGTGGGTGTGGGTGTGGGTGTGGGTGTGGGTGTGGGTGTGGGTGTGGGTGTGGGTGTGGGTGTGGGTGTGGGTGTGGGTGTGGGTGTGGGTGTGGGTGTGGGTGTGGGTGTGGGTGTGGGTGTGGGTGTGGGTGTGGGTGTGGGTGGGTGTGGGTGTGGGTGTGGGTGTGGGTGTGTGGGTGTGGGTGTGGGTGTGGGTGTGGGTGTGGGTGTGGGTGTGGGTGTGGGTGTGGGTGTGGGTGTGGGTGTGGGTGTGGGTGTGGGTGTGGGTGTGGGTGTGGGTGTGGGTGTGGGTGGGTGTGTGTTTGTTTGTTTGTTTGTTTGTTTGTTTGTTTGTGTGAACAATTGGCTCGGGAATGTTGTAAGTTTCTGCCAGATTCGATCGTGTTCAGGACAGAACCGTTTACAGGCAGTCCGTTGATGTATGATTCTGCAGTACAGAATTAGTTCGAGCTGGCCTGGGGGTATGATGTTCTGTTAGAGAGCCGTCTTGGGATAAAAAACGAGCTCTCCATGAAGGTCCCTGACTTTGGGATTCCTGGATCTAGGTTGGTGAAGTGTACTTGGTGCAGATTGCTAGAAGGGACCTATTTAGGCCTTTTGCCGTCATCAAAGTCGTTCTTGCGGTTCCGAATGTTTGAAGAGTGCGCAGCCACGTAGGTCTGCCACGAAGTGTGTTGGAAGCCTTTGACTTGGCAATCCGGCAGTCTGCAGGTTGTGGCGAAGTACTCCTTGGCACCTGTGGCCAAGATTTTGGAGGAGAAGCTTGGCAAGCCAGCGCCTGGGACTGCAAAGCTTTAGCCAGAATGGGACACTTACCAACAGACAGGGCAGGGATGTGATGGCACTAAAGACGCGCAAATGTGCTTGCAATGTTTTGCGTTGATCACAATGCTACGGTACAAACAATTTGCGGGCGTACTTCTTGTCACATCTTGTGATGCCAGTGGCACCTGTATGAGAAGTCCTCGCAGCAGTGTTTTGTAGTGCAGGAGTGATTTTGATGTTTGCCAACAATACTTGGCCAGTCTTGATCTTTCCAAGGGCACTGCTTTGCTACAAGGATGGCTGCGAATTTGAAAGTCTCTCACCCTCAGCTCTGCATGAATGGCCGCTTACGACGGCACGCAGTGGCACGTGCAGCTCCTTTCCTTGGTGAATTGTCAAGCGCACTTATTCCAATTGCTCTTGAGATATATGTAACAGTTTTTCTGTAGGAATCACAAAGTTGCAAGAGCCCCCTGATGGAAAGAACCTGCTCGCACTCGTCGCTGTTCTAGATTCGACCACCTGAGGTGACTTTCTGCCAGGACTGCGTCGGGCCTCGATCTTACTGGCTGAGCACGGGGAGACATGTAACGGTATATAGTTTCTGTCATACAAGAATGTCGAATGTGTCATCCGTTGTCTGTGCATGTGCATGTCCTTCAATTGTCAAAGAATTTAAAAGGTCTTTGAAGCCACGGCCGGCAATGCTCACATCTGCCAAGTCTTGGCTGACTTGCGCTGGGTTCACGCTACAGTTTCTTTTTGCAGCTGACAGACTAGTTGTCCAGCGCCAGCCCTGAACGCATACTTGTTGCAGCAATCTAGCCAGAAAGCTCAGAGCTGACTTTCTAAACACCAGGCAACTCGACAGCACATGCTGTTTGTTTTGGATGAATATTGCCCTTTAAGCGACGCTGCTGTCAGTTCGTCGAGGTCCCTGCCTGTGGAATTGCTCTTTGAGTCCGTGTTTTTGTGTGTTTTGAGGCCTTTGCTGATGCTTGGCCCAACACTCGCTTCGAGGGGCACCTGATGGCCTGATAGCCAAACATCTTTATGTTTGGGGCAAGTCCCTGGTTTTCCACTGAACTCCTCGTGTCCAACGGGCACACCCAGGCCGGAGGTCGAGGCAGCTTGCGCCGACCCCGCGCCTGGCTCCGTGATCCTTCTGGAGAGACATGGCACGTGAGAATCCAGGGAGAAGGTTGGGCTCAGGGTCCAATGATGTCCAATGTGTGCACTTGTTTGATCCGAACGTGTGGCTCACTTCAAGCATTTGTGATGTATTCGAATTTAAGCTGTTCGAAAATCCGAACGGCCAGTCCTGCTTGTGTAGTTTAGTTGTTTGTGTTCGGTTGGGTGTGAGAACGCCGAGAAGTCCGCCTCCCCTCTATCTCGCCCTCTTTCTCTTTCTTGCTTTCTCTTTCTCTCTCGCACTCTCTCGCTCTTTCTGTTCTTTCCCTCTCTGCCTCTCTCTCTCTCTCTCATTCTCTCTCGCTATCTATCTATACCTTTCTCCCTCGCTCTCCATCTCTCTCTCTCGCTCTCTCTCTCTCTCTCTCTTTGTTTCTCCACATAGGCTGATGTTCTAGCTCTCCACCCCGCAGAGGGCGCAAGACCTCGCCGGGAACTAAATCCTAAGCTGAAGAAACACTAGTTTAGCAGATTGCTTTGAAAAAGGTGAGAGAGATAGAAAGAGGCTGAGCTGCTTCAACATACCGAGTGCAACTAGGCTAGCCTGCCGAGCATTCAGCAGAAATGTATTGCCATTCTAAGGCATTGATCGAATCTCATTCGCTCAGCGCCCGAATCACTTGCTGATTGGTTTGGGCGGATCACAATCAGCCAAAGATCCTCCACCCACTTGTAGCATCTTGCTTGCGCATGCAGACCATCTCTTTGGGCAGTAAGAGGGGTCGGCACCTGCCATCGTCCTCCGTCATAAATGTTGCATTGATCCAAAGCGATAAATCGCAGAAGCAAGACTGATTCACAGAACAGGCGGATGCTTGGATGAGAGAGTGCTCAAGCCTATGCTTGTTCTGTCAAGCAAGCAGCCAGTGAAGGCAAGTGGCATGAACGAGAGCCAGCACAAGACCTCTTAGCATCTTTCAATCGCACCATCTTGAGGTGTGTTGATGGCTTCAGCCTCGAGCAACGTTGCCGATCCAAGGAACCTTCGCTTTCATGTTGAGGAGGAGGGCAAGGGTGTCGACCCAGAGGCTGGCTTTTGCATTCTGCAGCAATCCCTGGCTTGCCCGGATGATTCCTCTCAACACGAATGGTCGCAAATATCGGAAGCCTTAACATGCTGCCCTGGAAGAGGCAACGAAGATCAGCAAAGAGGTGTTGCCCATCATTTTCAAGGGATGCCGTTACTTTGAAGTGTTGCCCACCTCTTTGTCCCTGTGCAATGATCCTGGCAGAAAGGTATAATATGGCGACAGGAAGCCAATCTCATGCATTGCAACGTTTGACTGATCTTTTGTCAGCCCCATACGCATTACACGCGCAGCCCCTGATACAAACGCAGACACCAGATATTCCTCTCAGTTTCCAGTTGACGCTCGCAATGTCGTGCAAATGTCAAGACCACTGTCACAGTTGCCTGCCAGGGCAACAAGATCAAGGCCGACAAGGACAAGGTTGCCGCCTTCCGCGCCTCCATTAGGACGGGGTTGAACACAAGGGTGCTGCGGACGTGTTTGAAGATTTGTCGACTGCTGGTTGATCACTTGTTGGCTATTGTGGCAGCCACAGCAGGCGGGCTGCAAGCACGACAAATTGTCACATTGCGGCGCTCAAATTGATTCTATTTGTCGAATTCGACGCAAATCGCGTTAGCACGTTCTGTAGACGTCCAGCAGTCCGTGATCTCAGTTTAGTTGATGCAATTTTAGAAGGTTTAGCGGGTTTCAGTGATGCAGAACCATCCGCTCCCTAGCTGTCACCATCAAGAAATCCAGCCGTTGCGCGCAAATTTATACCGTCCCTTAGCGAAGATCAGAAGCTAATCATGTTGCTGCGAAGTTGTACACTGACAACGCACATTATGATTGTCATTCTGCCAGTATGTGTGTGCTTCATTGGTTTTCATGGCACTACAGCCACGTAGCTAGAACGACCCCTTAGTGGATCTGGCCTGGAACGGGTCCTATTTCTTTCTATCAAGTCAACCAAGGAATCCAATTTTCCAGCTGATTCATTAGCTTGAGTAGTTGGGACTGGTCCTCTGCGAGGCCTATCATCCACCCGTGAGCGACTTGGCGTGAGTCTACCCAGTCAGAAGCCGCAGGAAGCTGGCAGACATCTACTGCAACGACGCCTTCGGCACAGCTCACCGCGCCCACAGCTCCATGGTGGGCGAGGGCTTTGACGTCAAGTGCGCTGGGGATCTCATGGGCAAGGCCGGGCCAAGAATACACGACGCCCAGCAAAGAGCCAAACTGGGGCAGAAGCTGTTGTTAAGTGCTGGTAGTGTCAATCCCGCACCACAACCCACGAACACATATAGCTGCCCTGAATGCATTTTGCCAGGTTTAGAGTAGTTCAGAGTGGAAGGACGTGTTGGACTCTGAGAACTCGCCAGATGTTCCGCTGCCAGCGGCCAGGAGCTGGAGGCTTTTGCGAAGGTGCTGGACAGCCCCGCAAAGCCGGTGCTTGCCATCCTGGGG